TCTCTCTCTCTCTCTCTCTCTCTCTCTCTCTCTCTCTCTCTCTCTCTCTCTCTCTCTCTCTCTCTCTCTCGTCATGCATGACTCGCATCACTCTCCGCATCTTGTTTAGTCTTGCTCTTCTGCACATTTTTTCTTTTTCTTTTTAATCACGTATAGTAGTTATTTCTTTCCGAATATGATGACACATCTGTCGACATGCAACTCGTGGGGCTATCCCTCCATGTCATGGATTGTTTCGTTGCAGGTTGAGAGACTCATGAATTTGTATGCCTACAATTAGTACTCCACATACATTCATGTATTTCAGGCAGTTTGAATGTCTGTGGATGATGCTTTTGTCAATCCGCATACCCCAAAACCGCTCTCCCTCCCCGTCGTGTGTTATATTCTTCCGCCCGCGTTATGAAAGAAAGATGCCCGACTTCCTCCAGCCTGTTTTCATGTCTCACCTCCCGCCACCCACCCTGTCGTGTCTTCCTCAGGTGTTTTTTTTTTTTTTTTGTCACCTCCGTGTCTTGTCAATGAAAAAAAGGGGGGAAAAAAAAAGTGGAGACACTTTTTTTTTTTTTTCCCCCTCTCCCAATCAGTGGTCGTTTTTTTTTTTTTTGTTTTTTTTTTCATTAAGGGCACCGCCTCACTAGTCATGAATGTGCACAATGTGCATGCATCTATCGCCACAACACGGAGATATACAATGGGCATTTTTTTCTCTCATCCACTGTTCCGTGAGTGGTGCGGCGATGGCCTACACGGTCATTATTCCTTTCATTCATTAGAGGGTCGAATGTTAACCTGTTCCTTTTTTTTTTCCTGAGAAAACTACGGTGCAGTCAGGGTATTCGACGAAATGCACTTCAGGCTAAAGACCTGAAATTGTTGAATGTTTACAAGCTAGCTTTCGGCTTGTGTGGGGCGTCGGGGTCACATTTCTAAGTGTGTCATGTTAAGGGGATGGCGTGAAGTGCATTGTCAAACTGTTATCGTGACTGCGCTGTAGTTACCCCTTTTTTGTCGTTGTTGTTTTTTTATATATATATATATTTTCGGCAAGAGTCATAAACATCTGCCACTACCGCAAGTCACGCCAGAAGCAGAAACGTTGCGATTTCTGATTATCTCAGATAAAAGAAGTAGAGGTAATAGTTGTAACGAGATCAATGAAACATAATTGTCGTGGTCATCAATAATGACCATCCTCGAATCAGCATTAATCACCGACATGAGACAATAGCATGAATCATCAAGCATCGATCACTCGTCATCAATCATCATCACAAGTCGTCAGTCATCCTTACAAACACGGTACTTTGTGTACCGACTCTCTCTCGCTC